AATTCGAACGATCAGCTTGCGTCTCTCACAGCTGAAAACCAGCATTTTTCGCGTTAGCTTTCTGAGCTGTTCGGCTGATAAAATATCGCCATTTGTATATTTAATTTGTAATTTACAAAATTAATTAAAATTATCCAGTTTTTGAGGATTAACTGGCTATTTTAACTAGCTGGTGGCAGGTTTAACCAGTTTAACTGACTATAAAATGTTCTTTTATTTTTCGTTCCACTTTAAATATGCCAAATACTTTTTAAGCTTTTGACTTTTTAAACCTTGACTGATCTATAAAAATAATACAGTGAGAGTTGAAATCTTAATTACGAATGATTCCAGGTCCAACTATACGTTTTATAACAATACCATGTTAGAAAATTTGGAATTATGGGATAACAAAAAACGGCCACTTACGATCACTGAATCAGCTCAAACAATAACATTCTACAATGTTAACGGAAACACAAGTGAGGCGGCGGATATCGAAGTATTGCTTCTTGGTCCTCCAAATAATGGCCCCACCCACGGAAAAATGTAAGTTTTAATGTAAATAGAAAAATAATGTTAAATATCAAACATCACAACGTTTAAGGTACACAAATGCATCATATACGGCTGTATTCGACGTTTTGAATACATATACGGACTTTAGTCTGTCTTTAGGATTAATGCAACCGAAATCTGTTGGAGAAATTACTTTAGCATCAGCAGATCCCCGAGATTTCCCTTCGATTAACCCGAAGTATTTTTCTGATTCCGACGACTTAGAAACATTGTACAAAGCAGTGGAAATTGTTAGAAATATAGAAAACACGACAGCATTTCAACGTTTGGGACTCGAACCGATCATTTTAGATCTTCCAGACTGTGATGCAGATTATGAGAAACGTTCAAAAGACTGGTGGATCTGCAGCTTTCAATACCTTTCAATTCTCGTAAGTAAATTGAAGTGTGTGTTATAATTTCATGCATGAGATTCAATTTCAAAACAGAGGCTTCATGATTATTATTTGAGCAATTTTTGAGGAAAATGTTTGCTCAAAATGCGAAACAACCTTCTTGTTGAATTAAACATTAATTGTGTCTATAAAGAAACGAGGAAATTTTCTACTGGTAAAAAAACGGCACTAGAAATTTTTCGGTTACTTTCAGGGTTATCATCCGGTAGGAGCTACTAGAATGGGAAATGATACGCAAAACTCCGTGGTAAGTTCAAAACTCAAAGTTCATGGAATCGACAATCTTCGAGTGGTTGACGCTGGAGTGATTCCCCTACCAATATCAGGTCACACCAGCACACCCACAATTATGATTGGGGAAAAAGCTGCCGATTTGATTAAAAATGAATATTCTT